TCAATTGGTATACCATCTATTCCTGGGAAATTCTTCCTATATATATTATATATATAGATTATTTTTTTAATGACTGTTGTTAGGTACTGTAGAGTTGACTTTGACCCTCTGAACAACAGATGTGAACTCTGCCCTATCCTGCACCATCCTCAAGCTCTGACAAGCCTGAACTAATTTTTAGAGTCAATCTGTCAGTTTTTCTCATTGAGTTCTTCCTCTCTTTCTCTGAACCTCCAACTTTTGCAACATTGCATCCTTTTCCAGGGAAGGCCGTCTATGAGGTGGATTGATTCAGTGACTGGGATCATCTGGATGGGAGTGTCAGAGATAGTGCGATTGGCACAGGACAGAGCAGAGTTTAGGACTGTTGTACATAGGGTTGCTATGAGTCGCAAGCGACTCGAGGGCACATAACAACAACACCAATCACGTGCCGGAAGTACACAAAGTGAATTTTCACTGTCCATTTTCATTCCTTGCCTTAAGGGGCATCTGATTGCATTTCCTCAAACACTGTTCTAAGAATATGTCATATTTGTTTATTCATTGCTAGTTGATTTTTTTTTTTTTTTAGTTGGTTTCACTTTCTGGAGTAGTGACTATTTGAGCATTTACCTTTGAACTTTTTTAGATATTTGCCAGCAGTTCCTTAGGATTTATCCCTAAGGGTGGAATTGGCTATTTCTTTAATATTCTTCCTTTAACTTTTGAAGGACAGCAAAATTTATTTACAAAAACAGAAATAACATTCATGTCTTTATAGGAGGAGACTGCTCATCTTTTTCTTGAGAAGAGAGGTTGGAATCAAACCACTGATCTTTCAGTTAGCAGCCTAATATGTTAAGCCTTGCACCACTAGGGGTCCTTTTTAGATTAAAAGGGGATAGCAGTAATTAAGGAAGTATTGGTAAAGAAAAAAGTTAGTGTAAGATAGAGGCCTCTACCTAAATATGATGACCTAAAGACACATTTCACTTGAGTGCTTTCTAAAAGCTGCTGAAATAAAAGATTGGAACTTGGAAAAGATTAACTGACCCATAAGAAGAAAAGAATTAATATGCATTAGAGGAGCCCTAATTAGATGTTCAACTGGTAACGACGGAAAGATTTGTAGTTCAAACCCACCAGATACTGTGGAGGAAAGACCTGATATACTTCCTTTAAGTAAAACTTTACAGCTTAGGAAACCTTACAAGTTAAGTTTACATTCCCTTAAGTAGAGGCAACTTGATAGTACACAACAACAGTAATTATTAAAGATGGAAAATTTAAAAATTTTGGACACTAATAAAAAAAAAATAGAAAAATGACAGTTGATGTAGTTTCCTTGAGCAAACTAGAATATAAGCTCATTCAGAAGCATTAGAGAGGAAAATGAAAACAAACTATGTCAAGTTTCAGAATCCAAAAAAAAGCCTAAAGGCTTAGGAATTAAAGGTATCTGGTTCATTGGCGACCAGAGAATTAGACAGGGTTGTGTATAGAGTATTGCTATTTGCTTATTTACAAAGCTGTTGGAATCCCAGATTTCCTTTTTCTTCGTAGACATTTATATAAATAGTGCTCTCCTGTATTTTCTGGTATAGTTGATCCAACGATTGCTGATTTCTAGAACTAT